TTTCAAAAATAAGAAAACAAGTTTGAAATTTCCAAAATCAGATTTTTATTAAAAAATTTTAAATTTTTATTTATGAAATAATAAATTATTAAATTAATTTATTATTAAATATTTAATTCTAATATAATATAATTAACTTATCCTATCTTCACCACCCCTACCGTTCCGACGACAACTCTGATCACCGCCCTACTTCGGCAAACTTTTCGACGACCGTTTCGACGACTACTCCGATTCTGGTGACCATTCCGGCAACTATTCCGGCGATCGTTTCAGCGACGATTTTTTTTGGCGACTGCTCCGATTCCGGCAGTGGTTCCAACTCCGGCTAATATTCTGGCGACAACTCCGTTATATTTTTTTGTACGGTTGACATGTTTGTTTTTACGGTCATAACCCAGGTTACAAGTCACATATCACAAGTCACAACCTATGTCACAAGTCACAGCTCAGGTCACAAGTCACAAGTCAAGAGCCAAAGCCCAGGTCACAAATCACAAATTAAGTCACAGGCCAGGTCACAAGTCACAACGTAGTCCACCAACACGCACCGGCCAATCACAAAATTCAACCCACTTCGACGAGAACTCCAAACCTCACCCCACCCTGCCTTTCCAAGCCACCTCCATCTCAACACCCACCCACCATCAGCTTCAAAGGGCAGAATCACCACTAACCCCCCGCCCACCACCACTNCCTGCCTTTCCGAGCCACCTCCATCTCAACAACCACCCACCATCAGCTTCAAAGGACAGAATCACCACTAACACCACCACCTCCTCACCACGACAACCACCACTAAAATACAACCATTTATAAACTGAAAACCACACATTATTTAATTGTCACAAATTATCAACTTTTGAGGTCACATTTTAATAGTTTGTCACAATGAACCAAATAATTGGTCACATAAATCAAAACATCCCACCCCGATCCTAATCCACCACCAATATTTGGTCACAAATCAACCAAATAATTGATCACAGATACTATCCCATTGTCGACATCACCACGACAGTACCAATAACAAAGCCACCATCACTGGATCCAATACACTCGCAACAAATTGTTAATCATATTTGGATATGGAAACATTGAAACAGCTTGGTTATTATATTTGATTCCAGATG